TCCACAAATTCTTCGTAATTTTTTATGTGTAGCAGGATTTTCCCCTCCAAAAAATAACGGGTACAATATGTACCCCCTTGGTACTCGGCATTCGTTTAAAAGCTTTAAAAGCAAAGGTTAAGAAACATATTTAAAAAAAACCCTTAAATAAACTTTTCATAGATTTAATGAAGTAGAGTTCAAAATTTTTTTAAGGAACCCATATAATTAAGCTTATTTAAATATTTGAACTTATTACCTAATTTGATACCAATCTGTAACATTGCTCTCTAAATTGGTAAAATTTTAGAAAAAATATATCAACAGAATACTGATTGACACTTCTACACATTGTAGAAAGGACTGTGAAAGGGATATTGTGAATTTGGCACTTGAATATGAAATGTTACTGGAAATTACATGTTATATATATATATATATATATATATATATATATATATATATATATATACAAAAATCAAAAAAACCGATAAATCAAAAAATCGAAAATCGTAAATCGAAAAATTGAAAAGTGGAAAAAACAACAGTTAGTTACCTATGTTTAATAAAAACTTTCCATTCTACACTTTTATTTAATAAAGAAACCATAATGGTCGTGGACAAAGTATAGTATTAGACTCGCAATTTATGGCCATTATTCACTCAGGTGACTTGCGCCCCTCGCCTACGGCTCGGGACGCAAACGTCACCCTGCCTGAATAATGGCTACCATAAATTGCTCGTTTAATAATATACTATTATTACAATAATACCTGTTAGAGACAATTTTAACTCCAAAATAAAATCAATAGTTTAAAAACTAAAAATAGCAACAATAACCTTAGAAACAACAAAAACAAAGTCATACAATCTCCATAAAATTACTTATTCGATGTAAACATTATAGAAAATGTTACCGCACATTAAGGACAGCGTCTCCTAGGAATTTCTGAACAAAATTATGTCAATTTAGATTCAATCAAGGAGGTGCTGTTACCTACCGACTAGAGATTGAATTAGTGCAAATTATTACAGAAATCTTTAAGTAACTATAAATATCGACCGACTAGCTATTAGGGGATATTGTATTATAAACCGGTTTTTAGTAGACTGAGTTCGAAGAATCATAATAATAGTCCTGAACATAAAATCTATTTTTCAATAATTGCCGGGATTTCACCAAATAAAAAAAAAATTATTTCGCGATTGTGAAAACGGTCCAATCGTTTTATATGCCATTTATAATATTATAAAAATGTTAACTCTAGGACTCATTTTGGAGTATGAGCATACTTTATTTCAATACTTTTATTGTACTGTTTCATAAAATATTACCTACCTATTACATTTTATTTTTATCGAAAATTGACTTTGTTTCCTGGACCAAAGTAAAGAATGTAGATGGTAACAACAAAAACGATATCTTGCCTCACATTAAATATAAATATTTCCTCAAATAAATAATTTGGTTTATATACGGGTAGTAATACGAGGGATGTTTATAATTTCAAGTCACGAATATAGAGTCGTTTCAAAATATATTGCGACAATAATTGCGTCACATTGAGTCGGAGTGGGACGCTTATTGACGTGTTGCAATTCGCAATATATTTTAAAACTATTCTACCTAATTAATAAATTGTGATTTTGAAGTATCGAATGAAAACTATATTCTCATTGGTTAAAGATGGAAGTTTTTGTCATTTGAATGTTCAAGAATATTAATTGTGATTAATTGGTTAAACACCGAAGTTATCTGTTATCTGATGTTGGTACTAACCTAATGTTTTTGGGTAATTTTGACTGTCATTTCCTGGAATTTCCAGGCCCGCATAAATATTTATCCTATTAAAGTACAAAAACCCTACAATAGATATTATGAGTAGGTATTTAACATTCATTTATCTTATCTTATCTTAGGTAGTTATTTCCCTGATTGTCAATAACACATTACCGTATATCTGTGCCAATATGACGTCACGTCTTTTAATATACTTAATGAAGGCTGGGGGAAGGAGTTAAGAGTCTATAAATTTACAAACAAGCTTACGGGTATTTAGTTTTCAAAATTACATTACACGTTTCTGAAGTGTTTTATTGTGCTGTTTGTTTTTAATAAGTGTTATTTTCTTTAATAGAAAATTTATTTATTTGTGCCAAGTGTCCTAGTGTACATTTTAATCAGTTTTATTTTTGGATAAATTGACATCGACTTCCTGCATTAAAGGTAGGTAGTATTTTTTTTCTATCACTCTCGAGTTCGTCATTGAATAAAAAAATTAAACGCTATAATTTTAACATTCAAATATTTGCAATTAAAAAATAATATTACGTATTAAATTGACAATAAAAAAACTTGTTATTTAATAATAATGTTCCAGTATTCTGAATATATTTTTTCTACGATCAATATCCAAAGTAGGTAGGCTTTTGCACATTAAAATCTAAATAAAAAGTTGACGTTTTCTGCGAATTGTCATAATTTGACATTATTGGCGCACATTACCTAATATTCAAACCCATTTCCATGCTTAAAAATAGAAGATGGTGACATTCATTTAAAAGAAAACCATAACTACTTTTACCAGGTGAAAAATTTCAATATGTTAAAATAATTCATGATTTTTAAGAAATGTGCTAGAAATGATACTACAATATTAATATTCTTTTTATGTTTGATTTTCTAATAATGATTTTATATACTTTTAGATTCAAGGACAGCTAGGTATAGCTCAAAGAAAATTGTGCTACTTTGTAGTATATACTGGAGATGAAAATCCACTATTTGTTGAAAAAATTAATTTTCAACCCATTTTTTTTTTTTTCAAAATATGGTTGAAAAATTAGAAAAATTTAACTCGGAATATATGGCACCTGAGATAATTTTAAATAGAAGAGGACGAGGATTAAAATGTCTGGATACCCCATATAATGAAAATTAAAGTGCAAAGATTAGCAAATTTATAAAAATAATAATTTAATGGACTTTAATGATACAAGTACTTGAAATAATGGTTTTTTTGCGCATAAGCATGTTCATACGTAATTTGCAATTGGTAATCACTAATCACAGATGGAAAAGTATATACGTCAACGATACGTTCTCTTATTTTTGATTTATTTTAACAGGTATAATATATGGTATGTTACTTATAGTATAGATTTTTTTATTTCTTGACCTAATTTATTTGTTACGTCTTCAGCAATTGTCGCTTTCAGTTGACATAAACGAAATTGATAAAAAGTGTTTTTCGCATTTTATTTTGACTGTTTCTCTTACTTTCGAATAGAAACTGAGCTTTGTAAACTTAAAATGACGGATATGTCAAACTAAAACTGACGGTAAAATGAAACATTGAGTATCGTTAAATGCCACTTTTGAACTAGTTTCAAAAATAGCATTAAAATAATATCATTCACAATGTACTAATTTCCTATACTTTTAGTTGATAAATAACCGATAATCATACATCATATAACAAATAGGCGCGTGTCAAAAGGTCACCGGCGAAAAAAGAGTGCCGATGAAAAAAGGTCGTTTCCAATTGTATCATATAAACAGTATCAGAGGCAGTATTATCATCTCGTATATCCCCCGTAAACACACATAATATAAACGGAAATAATCAAATACTAGTCAAAATATTATCGATCGGAGCACCATCTTTATTAGATTACATGAAGTAATTATTGATTTTTTGGGGTTTATTTAGAGTTAAATTAGACGCCATTTTTGGTCCAAATTCGTTTTGGCATGTTTTTTCAAAGAAAGTGACTTATAAATTTCAAATCTACACGTTTTGAAAAATATACAATATTTAAATATTCTGAGTGTACCAAATTCCAAGTAAAGGTTGAACTTAGGTCGTATTACATTTTTTTTTTATTATTTGTTTGACATCGAGGTTAAAATAAATCTACACGGCACCTTTGAGATGAAATAAAAGGGGGTTATTTTACATGATTGGTTTTTATTGAAAATAATAAATTTATTAATTTTCAATAGTAAGGTGACCTAAGTTAGACCTTTATTTTTAATTTGGCCAAAAATTAGATTTTTAAACACTACATATTCGGAAAACTGTCGATTTAACTTTTGGTCTACACATACACTTTTAATACACAGGGATACCCCGTCCTTAAGTAAATGCACGGAGCTGTATTTTTTAAGTGCTTCGAACACTTTGCCGCAACTTTTGCCTACTGTCAAAGGTGGTCTTGTAAAGGTCCAGATAAAAAAATAGAGGGTTTAGTATCTAGCAAACGAAACAACCTACTAAAGATTTGATTGAACTATCGTTAATTCAACAAACAAAATAAGTCATAACTTCTTGACTACTTTTCTATTTTCTCTTGTTTTCAAGATTCATTGCCAAACATACAAATTTAGAATCCCCTGTACAAATATTAATGACGTACGTATGGATAAAGAATCGCTGGATCAAATGTACGAGCCCTGACTCAGTGAAGTTGGTCCAATCGCTCAAAATATGAAATTTGTTTTGTCACGACACGACAAAATTAATTATTATTAAGATATTTTTAGAGATAATATTTTTATAGACATTTTTAAACATATATTATTCAGTTTTCCGATTTCAAGATAAGTTTTACAAAAAAAATTACAGGTTTGTTAGATAGGATAACTTCACTGATGCAGAACTCGTATATTAACGGCTGTTTAGCATTCAGTTACGATTCTGGGCTGGAACTCTGTGTCATGTAGAATTCTACTTATCGCTTTCTACAATAGATTCTTTTGTGGCACTCTGTGTAACATAGCGGAAAACCAACGAGTATATACTTACTACAGGATAACTAGTTTCATAAGAAACCACATTGCGATATTTCCCGTGCGGTTGATAACGTATTTATCACAAAAGAAATTAATCGATTCCATTGTAGAAAGCGATAAGTAGAATTCTACATGACACAGAGTTCCAGCCCTGGTAGTTTTAATTAGAACCATACCTATTATTCTGCATCTGCTAAAATTATAACAAATTATATAAAAAAAATACTTATTTTCATTTGGGTCGATGGTGCAAAACGGAAAATTTTCTGCGGCCGCCGAACTCTTGGTCAGCACGTTGAAGAAGGTGGATTTTCCTACATTTGGTACACCGACGATGCCAACCTTTAAATTTGTACCAACTCTACCGATAAGAGGCCGCCGTTCCGGTTCTTGAACCTTTTTTGGTGGCATGCTGAAAATGAAAAATACGTTATAAATTTAAGAAAATCGTATATTTATTTCTTCAGGGTGAGGTTGACCGTTTGTTAAGTATGAGAGACTTAGGGAATGAAAAACCCCGCTCTTGCATAATCTACAGCAACAGGGTTAATTGTACACTAATACCGGTGCTTTGCACCGATGATTTTGTTACAGCTATGCTATCAATCCAAACGAAAGAGGGAGAGAAGGGCTATGTTGTATGCTCCGCCTATTTCCCGGGAGAGGAGAGAATATGCCCACCAGTAATACTAGGCAGAATCATTGCCCATTGCGAGGAGCAGAAACTCAACCTCATAATAGGATGCGATGCGAATGCACACCATACGATCTGGGGAAGCACCAACATCAATCCAAGAGGTGAGTCACTATTACAATTCATTCTAGGTGAAGGGTTAGAAATTGCCAATAAAGGCAACAAACCAACTTTTGTCACTGCCAACCGAAAATAAGTTCTAGATATGACCATGTGTTCGAGAGGCACAAATGACCAAATCAGGGACTGGCATGTGTCCGATGAACCATCGTGTTCACATCACAGACATATCCGATTCCATATACAATGCCCAACTCGTACAGCAGACAGGTTTAGAAATCCGAGAGAGACGAATTGAGAACGGTACATAAAATCCCTCGAGGAGTCTCTTAAGGAGGAAACCACCAATGTACAAGAAACAAAAACACTCGAAAGGACAGTAGACTTGGTAAACAAGGCAATTACTAATGCCTACCAAGAAAACTGTCCCGAAAAAGAGAGATGCCAAACGAGAATAACAGTCCGGTGGAATAAACACCTAGATAGCCTGGCGAGGTGCGAAGGCTATTCAACAGAGCCAAATCCACACAAGACTGGACTACTTATAAAAATAATCTCACAGAGTATAACAAGGAAGTACGCAAGGCTAAAAGAAGGAGGAGAAAGTTCTGCGAAGACATCTCGAGAGACCACCGCCAGCGCTAGAATCCATAGAGTTATAGCCAAAGACAGAACATCTAGTCAAGTGGGATTCCTCAAAAAAGAGGATGATACCTACACCACGACACTAGAGGAAAGTCTGGAGATACCAACTAAGGTGCACTTTCCGGCCTCAACTATCCTAACAGGACTAGACTCAGGAGACCAAGAGAGCTACAGTCACAAGGGGATCAGACCAACTCTAATAGACTGGAAGCTGGCCTCCGAGATCACAAGACCACACAGGATTAGTTGGGCTATCAACAAATTTAAGGCATACAAATCCCGGGGCCGGATGGAATATATCCAATTCTGCTCCAAAAGGGAAAATATGTGTTAATGCCACATTTATGCAAAATCTTCAGAGCATGTATTGCCTGGAGATATATGCCAGCAATATGGCAAAAGGCGAAAGTAGTCTACCTTGCCAAAGTAGGTAGGGTCACAGACCAAACGCAAAAGTCATATCGGCCCCATAAGCCTATCCTCCTTTCTACTTAAAACTCTAGAAAGATTGATAGATAGGTATATCAGGGACGATATACTAAAAATAAATCCGCTCCATCCCAACCAATATGCATACCAGCCAGAAAAGTCAACTGTCCTAGCGCTGGAAGATCTAAACAAGCTGCTTTCAAAGTCAATAGATGACAAAGAAATCGCAATAGCCACTTTCTTAGATATTGAAGGAGCTTTCAACAATGCTTTAACCAGGTCAATAACCAAGGCTCTAGAAGAGAGAAACGTCCCAGTAACAATATGCCTGTCTAGAGAACAGGATTATTTTATCCACTCTAGGAAAGGCAACCATACAGGCAAAAGTTACACGGGGCTGCCCACAAGGAGGAATATTATCTCCAATGCTGTGGTCAGTTCTTGTGGACGACTTACTCAAAATATTGTCCAAAGAAGGCTACCAGTGCTTAGGATACGCAGACGATCTAGCAATTATCGTCAGGGGGCGATTTGCAGTTACAGTTTCGGAGCGATCTCAAACAGCTTTAAACATAGTGAACAACTGGTGCAAAAAGGAACAATTGTCCATTAACGCACAAAAAACAACAGTTGTACCATTCACAAACGGGTACTTACAGGTCTAAGACCACTAGTACGGATCAACACAGTTATCCCATTCGTCACAGAAGCCAAATACCTCGGAGTCATATTTGACCAAAGGCTGACGTGGAATCAACATCTCAAAAAACACACATAAAGCTACAATAGCTCTCGTAAGCTGTAGAAGAATATGTGGGAAAAACTGGGGTCAATGACCATATGTTTATACACAAGGGTAATAAGACCCATGATATGTGGTGCAATGGCGTGGGTAACTAAAACTGCGCAGGCAAGTGCAATAGGCTAACTCACTAGCATTCAGCGGATTGCCTGTCTAAGTGCTACTGAGGCCATGCGCACTACGCCGACCGCAGCAATGGAGGTATTATTAAATCTCATGCCACTGCACATCTTCATACAAGGAGAAACCAGGTCAGCTATTCACAGGCTAATGCAGGGACAAAACCTAATAAGCCAACTACATAGCGCCGACCACACAAGGCTATATCAGCAAATAAAAAGGGATAATATTCTAGCTATGCCTACTCATAGAGCCATAACCACATACAAGTTTGAAATAAATTTTCAAATTCAAATACCAGCCCGAGAATCCTGGAAACAGGGACCTCCCGTACAGGTTGAACTCGTCTGGTATACAGACGGTTCAAAAACCAAGGAAGGAGCCGGTGCTGGAATCTATGGACCCAAGTCGAAATTAACGATTTCGCTGAGTTTAGGAAAATATGCAACAGTGTTCCAGGCTGAGCTAATAGCCATACAACACTGTGCAAGAGAAATATTAAATCAGCAAGTATCATGCAAAACTATTGCCATATACTCTGATAGCCAAGCAGCTCTAAAGGCAATTCTCTCACCAGAAATCAAATCACGACTGGTGAAAGATTGTCTAGAAGACCTGACAGAGCTAAGTAGTCAAAATAAGGTGACCTTGGCCTGGGTTCCAGGCCATGAGGGATATCAGGGCAACGTAAAAGGCCGACGAATTAGCCCGAGAAGGCTCAGATAAGACCATGACAGGCCCCGAACCCTTCTGCGGAGTTGCTAAGGCATTGTGAAAGGCATCCATTAAACAATGGATGCTAAAAGAGACTCAGGAATGGTGGAACAACTATCCAAGACTGAGACAGGCCAAACAGTTCATCAAGGAACCATCGGCCAAGTTCACGAAAAACCGTCAAATCGTTAGGATAACAGTAGGCCTTCTTACTGGACACTATCGCCTCAAAAGGTACATGAGTGTCATAAATCCAGCAGAAGAGGCAACTCTGTGCAGGTTATGTGAAGAAGAAGAAGAGGAAACATCATTCCACGTCCTGTGCCAATGTGAAGGCCTGGCTGGAATGAGGTTTCTAACATTTTATTTATTTATTTATTTGTAAAGTTTGGGGTACTTACAGGTTAAAACCCAATTATAGTACCCACTAATACAATTTTTAATATTAAATTTACACTAAAATTAAACTAAATTAATTTTACAATTATTACAAAAAAATTAATCTTATTTCAAAAATATTAATTTCACTTGTTTCATTGGGCGAAGAAAAGCCAATTGCATGCAACTACATGCGGAAGCCACTGTCAAAGCTACTAAGTCTAATAAAAAAGACCAGGCTAGACGACATACTCTAAAACAAACAATAGATCGGTCGCGGTGGACAAGGATAAATAACGTCCAACTCCTAATCTAATCTAGGGTGAGATTACAGAACGGCTGCAACTTTGCATATATTTATTGTTGTTTATTACTCCCAACAATATTAAGCCCAAATCCACCCTTAAGGAGGTTAGAACATGCTACAAACTTGCAGATTGTCAATTTTTTTTAATAACCATGTAGTCTTCTGTTCCTTTTGATTGAATACAGTTCGTGGTGTCAGATTAGCGAGTTTTTAAACATTCTAATGGATTTGGGTTTAGGTTTGGGTAAGTCCGCCATATTTGCAGATCTCCTACTTACTAAGTGTTTATGAACCGTCTGTTCTACACACTGGGCTACGAAATCGTATTATAATAGTGTTGTTTCGAAACCGATTAAAATTTTGGAAAAATTCGTTATTAGTTTCATTAAAGTTATATAATTACTTTTTTTAATTCAAATATTTCTATCTAAAATGTGAACACATACAAAATATACTGATTTAAATTATTTTTGACAGTTTTTAACAAGTCATCATATTTATTATCTAGGTGAATATTTTAAAGTTTGTTTAGGAGTCGAACTGTTAGAAATTATTTCAAACAGCTATTTCTCACAGTATCTATGAGAAATTAATAACTTTCAAAGCAACTAAAAAAATTACACCAATAACAATCGTAGAAAAAATACGATTATCAAGAGTTGCTACTAGTCCGTATACCTATAACGCATACATTTGAATATTTTGGGTTTTAGACCATGGTACAACTTTTAGCAAGAATATTTTGTTGTCAAAAATTAAACCAGGGTGGCCCAAATAAAACAGTACACCTGCAATATTTTCATTGATGGAGGGTTTTCCGAAAACTCCGAGACAGGTCGATTTTGCCTTCAAGGAACTTCTTTTATTAGTTACTTCATAGACGTAGGGCCATTTCCCTGAAGGGGGTGGCAACCCCTTCAAGAATACTTAAATAGCACGGGGGCAAGTTGGACTCTATTTGAAAAGTATTACAATTCTTTTTTTTTGTTCTGTGTTAGAATTAATGTAAAAAACCTGTTTGAAGTGTGAAATGAATCGAAAAAACAGGTTTTAATTATGTGTTCAAATTGCGACACAGTTACTTCCCTATAGTAATTAAATCTGTTTTCCAAAATTTTTTGTAGCATTTCGATGGCGACGATCTTCTAAAGATATAGTTTCGTTTTATAAATAACACTTTTTAAATGACCCTATCAGAAAAAGTCCAAGGGTGAAAGTTTTACGATCTTGGAGGCCCTTTCAATGAAATCGCATCCAGTGTT